TTATCACTTTGACTTGTGTAAATATCTGGATTCCTTACCTAAAATGGATGATTGAGTTCAGACTCTATCACAAAAGCAATAATGCTGTGCTGTCCCTGTGATCCAAAAATATAATACTGGGGAGTGATCCTTTATAGGTTAAATATTCAGACTCTGGCTACTATTGCTCAGTTTATTTTCTTTGACTTCCTCTTTTTGTGGGGTTGGAAGGGGATCTAGGTTGAGCCCAAGCAGACACTTTGGACACTCAGTTCACAGCGCTCCCAGCCAGGTGCTTCCTCATTTTCAATAATTTATAGTTGACCTTAAAACAAAACCTCAAACTAAACATGCGCTTGTGCATATCTCCATATCTCCAAATTAAGATTAAACAAGGTTTGAACATGGAGCTGTACTACAAAATACTACAAAAGGAGTCTAACGTCTAACATTAAACTGGTGTCTATCCCGTAACTGGTAGTGTCTTTGTTATCAACATACATCAATAAAAGTTTCTGAACAATAATGAGAAAGACGCCCACAGGCAGAGAGGATTTGTACCAATAAGTGACAAAATTAACACTGTGCCCCTGAGCTTACTCAGACTATTACAGAAATGCATTGCACTTATTTTAAGTGATAGATTAGATCCACAGTGAGGAAAAAGGATGAATTTAAAAGTCTGGCGGTCCACCTGAAACAAGTTTGTCTTGTCATTATCTTGTTAATGAAAACAAAGCATGTATTTGTCGATGTTCTTGTTATCAGTGATGTATTTTAGTTCATCATCGTCTAAATCCAATGAAGACAGTGGTTGTTAAGTGCTAATGTAGAAATTTTTAAAAGTAAAAAAAATGACAAATGGTGGATCGTACTTGTTATGCAACCTAGGAGCTTCATGTGCGCGAAGGCCACCATCTTTCACAAAAGAGGAGGGGTGAGCAGGGGAGCGTGTCAATCTGGAGACTGACCTCTAGATATCACAAAATATTTCCATTTCTGCACACTGTACCTTCAACGGTTAAGAGTGGTAGAAATGTCTGAGCCTTGTTCAGGACTGATCTGTAGCTAAAGTGGCAGGTCTGATCTTGTAAAGGTCATCCATGACATCAGGACTTGGCTGCTTTGGGCTTGATGCCTATTGGTGCTGATGGTTGCGCCGCCTGTGAGAACTTCATCCTTTCCATTTCTTTTCTTTCTCCTTTTCCCTTCCCTTTTCTTTAACTTCTTTCACACACATGCACGCAGACACACAAATGAGGACTTGTGCGATTCTATAAACAAGCCTCAGGTATTAAGTGCATCTGAAAAGGTCAGTCCCACTCATTCACTCTCTTTACTGCTGACCAGTGGGAGTGTGCAATAAAAGCTTTCATGATGTCCTGAAATGGAGGAGATGTGTGTGTGTGTGTGTGTGTGTGTGTGTGTGTGTGTGTGTGTGTGCCTCCTTTCACTGGAACACGAGTTAGAGAAAAGGACAAGTCAGGACAAAGTCAACAAAACAAGGACAGTTACTCCAGAGATTTAGACCTTTCATCAGCCGTATCCAAGCCGACACGAACAGTCGTACACTGTTTAAAATGCTCTACTTAAAGACTCCGATCTATCTATAAATTCTTTAAAAAAGTGCTCTATAAAAACTTAGTTAGCAGAGACAATCAGGCATTTTATTAATATCATACAAGTTCATATAAAAGGGTACATTTAGTCTTCATTTGTGCTAATCAGAATGTTTCAGATACATTGACCTCTAACTTGTTTGACATGTTCTGGTATAATGTTGTGGTCACACGTGTGTTGTCTTTTCTCCTCCATTCACCGCCCTTTCATGGTGACTTATTTGCTGTGAAGCCTAAATTGTGCTATAAAGGTGTTTGTGCACCAGGTGACGTTATATATTTTTATTTTATTGACTTTCTGTCCTGCTATCAGAGCTGTGGCAACTGCAGTGGCTTTGAAGCACTTGAGGTGTTTGATTTAATCACTGGGAAAGGTCGCTGTGCCATCTCTTGGGTTTTGATTAGTTTTACAAGGCGTGGGAGCTTTTGCCATGAGTTGCATGGATTATTAGCTGTCTGAATATTGGTTTGATATTGTCATTGTAATAGGGTCTATCTATCTATCTATCTATCTATCTATCTATCTATCTATCTATCTATCTATCTATCTATCTATCTATCTATCTATCTATCTATCTATCTATCTATCTATCTATCTATCTGTCTATCTAATTCTTGTTTGGTGAACATCTTAACAACAACAGTACCCATGAATTCGAGTAAGTGGTCTCATCATATTTTCATATGTTTATCATTGTTGGGAAACCTCAAAAAGCTTCATAGTGATTGGATTGTCCTGATTGTTTTTTTTTTTTTTCTTTGAGCCATCATGAGAATTATTGCAATATATCGAGAGGTTTGTTGATCATATCCAGTTTATTCTTCACTGTAATCATGATGGTATTTAGTCATTCATTTAGATATGATGTTTTATCAAAACAAAACAAAAAAATGCATGGCGGATGAGTTTGTGTTATTTTCATACTGCAAATATCTTTCACATTGTTGTTTTGTATTGTTGTGGGGCTGTCCTTGTTTTGATTTAATTGAATAAATGACTCACTTGTGATTTAAAACTGACCACAAGATGGTACCTGAGTGGTACTAGGAGCAACGTGATGACTTTGGAAGGAAAAGGGGATGGACAACTCCTGGAAATGCTAATGGCAGTTATTCACCGGGTAGCTGCTGTGTCTTGCAAACATTTATCTTTTTCCAGTCGTCACGGTGCTCCCGCAATGATGGATCATAATGGCAGAGATGTTGTTGGCAGAGATTGACAAACTTTTCCTCTGTCTGATAGCTCCATCTTGCAGCAGCGTCTTCATCATTCTGTCTTTGTAATTTGTCTGTTGACTCATGACTTTTAGTGCAAAGCACCCTAAGGTCTTATTGGTTATCACCGCTGACGTGGCAGAACAAATCATAGAAGGTGGAGAGAAAAAATCAGCCCTGCTGGACTTTTTGTCAGGATGTCATGAGGTGTCCCAGACATGGCCTTGAACGTTGTTCACTGCAACACACTAAAGATAACATGACTGAACTACTGCTGCCAGAATGGGCTATAATCATGCTGTAATCTTGTAGTCTGACCCAGGGGGGAAAACTAGGACTGACCAATAAGGGCCCTCGTGGTAAGGGGGGCCCTTGATGAGCCAGAAATAAACACATTGTTTTTTCTTTCCTTTTTTTGGAGTTATAAATGTCATAGTAAAACTAAAACTGTCATATCAAATAAGCAGATACTCATAATTTATCTCTGGAAATAATGTTAAGTGTCTGTCAGAGGCCCCTATACCCCCCACTAACTGCATGTTTTGGATGTTTCCCTGCTCCAACACACCTGATTCAAATGATCAGCTCGTTATCAAGCTCTGTAATGGCTTAATAACGAGCTCATCATTTGAATCAGGTGTGTTGGAGCAGGGAAACATCCAAAACATGCAGGACAGTGGGCCTCGAGGACTGGACTTGAGAACCACTGGTTTAAAATATCAAACAGGTCACTGATGGCTGTGTAAATATAGATTTTGATTTTGGGTCCTGATTATGTCTAATTAAAGTGTTTTGGGTTCATTCTGTAAGGTAGTTTATGAATGAAATAGTTTTCTAATGTTCCTGAAAAGGAAAAAAAATGGAGATACGTGTTGTTAATTGGACAGCGACAATTTGCTTGTGCCACTTGCAGTTGAATTTGCTGATAATTTATGGTTTTCTCTACACAGTAACACGATGAGGCTAACTAGATTGAGTTAGCATGGCTTCTTGTTGAAGCAAGCAGTGTCCAAGGATAACTGCCTTCATCTTTAAATCAGGCCACGGTTTTTTTTCAGACACTTACACTCTTACTCAGAAGAGATGTATCATAAAAGGATGCTGTTCAGAGTGTAGAGTTAGTCATGCTTGTTGGTAATCAAGAGTACATGAATGGAGAGACAAAGCACTTTCTCACTCATCTTACTCTAATGCCTCAGGGCCAGGAGACTTTAAGAGGAGACATGCAAACACATGGAAACGTTTTCAATTTTTGTGTCCTATAAGCACCCTCATGCTCGTCCCTCTGCCTGGGCTCTGTGCACTTTATTTGTTCTGTGCATTACAACAAACAGAAGAACCTCGCTCTCTCAAATTAAGGTAAAAAACAGAGTGGCAATGCAGAGGGTCTTTCTTTAATGTCAAGTACTCTTTTTTTTTCCAACATGGGCCCCAAAGGCTCACTCTTTTGCCAGACCAAAAGACACAATGGACTGGCTGAGCTTCACCATGGTAACCATACTCATCAAGAATTACCCAGGACACTCAATGCTTTGGTGTGACTTTTTTTCCGTTTACAGTGAAAGTTTTCTGTGGCTGAGAGGTTTATGTCTCTTTGTTTTATCCTCTCTTGGTTTTGCTGAGAATGATGAAATCTACAGACATTTTTGCTTAACCTTCACAAACTATGATATAGAGACTGCTGCTGCCAACCATTTTTAAGAAAGCTGTATGCACCCCTCCCACACACATGTATACACTCAGTCTATCTCCCTTTCCCTCACTGTCGGCTTGTGTCATGATGAAGGCTCTGTCACTCCGTCCTTATTACCAGAAGAGAGGTCAGTGCGAGTTCACTCTTACATCACTCAGACTGTGACAGCAGCAGCACTCTCTGCTAAAAGAGAAAAAGGAACAGACATATGAAGAGAGGGAGGGAGAGAAGGAGAGAAATGATTCTAGTTTATGGGGGGGCTATATCCATCGAAGCAGCCCTGTCTCCCTCTGCCAGCCATTGTTGGAGTGAACTGAAGGAGTCAGTCAACCAGCTGAGTCTTGTCTGTGTTCGCCTGCCATTTAGTGAGAAGTGGAGGCGCGGAGGAAAAGAGGAGTGAGAGCTGTACAGCACATATCACAGAAGGAAGCATGGGCCTGAGTGCCTCTGTGTCCAGGTTACCAAAAGACAGAAAAACACAACACAAAAAAGAAAGCGGCAGAGAGCAGAGAAAGACGGATCTCCCGTATGCTTTTATAAAAAAACCTATGCTATTTGTTGGTAGCCAAACTTCAGAAAGCATTGATTTCCAAGGAACTGGATATGGGGAGCCATATTTTTCCACTTTACCTTTTCAAGTGTTTGTTTGAAGAGCAGCTATTGAAATCCTTCCTCGGCTGCACTATTTTCAGCACACCTGGAGGGCATCCAGCACTGCTGTTGAACATATGTAAGCTCCAAACCATGTTTCCAATGCTTCTGTTCTTCACTTTTTACCCATTTAATCAATCACTTCTTTATTCAACACTACGCCTATTTTGAGCTTTATTTCAATCCTCTCTCCAGGTCCTGCCCTACAGTCCTTCTTCACTTTTGACTCTCTCTCTCTGCCTTGTTACCTCTTTTCCCTGACGCTCTTTTACACTCTGTAGGAGGAAGGTAGCGCTACCTGTGCCTTGGTTTATTTCTAAATAGCTCTAGCTCCCTAGGTGACCACACCTTTTCCCTCCTTCCATTCCTCTGTCCTCCTCCTCCCTTTTCGATTCTTTTAAAAGGCATAAGCCACAAAAAGAGTCATAGTGCAGTGCAGAGGTCCTCTGCTCGCCTGAAGAGAAATGCAGGATAGGGAAAGGCCAAACTTTCTTTTATTATTGACGTAATCCTAAAAGCTTGTGCCTGTGAAGACAGATCAATTTTCTCTACCTTATCCTATTATTAAAAGCCAGCCTGGGGGCTGAGGACACCAGATCTTACAAGGAGAAACAGAAGGAGAGAAAAACACGCAGCGAGACAGATCGAGAGACACAAACACCTCCCCTCCTTCTCTCTCTCTCTCTCTCTTTCTCTCGCCCGCTCCAGCTGATAAAACATGAATCTAGTATGAATTTGATTTTCCAATACTGTCATTAATAGATGAGCTGGCAGGGGCTGGGGTTGGGGCCTGTGGAGCGGGCAGGCCTGCTGTAACACTCATGGACAGGAGTGAAGATAGAGACAATCAAGGCTGCTATGAACAACACTTCATCACTGTCACGTTTGGGCAGAATTCAATTTGCAGATGTCGAACTCGCCCCCCTCGTCTCTTCACCACGTCTGGATTGTGAGAGAGGCGCACATGTGCACGCACACACTCCCACAAGTACACAAATGGTGCATGTGTGCTTATTATGTGCTTCTTACAGTACAAAACCACATCAAGCTGAGATAACCGCGTTGTTCAGAATCATCTGGGGAAAGGAGGATGGAAAGGAGAAGAGGAGCACTCCAAACTCTTACTGGTCCATATATGATCAATGAGCTCTTTTGTGTGCCTGGTGCTATGATCATGAGTGCTGTACCGCTCCTGCTTTTGGACAGAGAATTTTCTCAGTAAAAGTACATCTCTGTCTTACAGCTGTAAAAGAAATAAAAAAAGAAATAAAAAACAGAGAGACTTGTTCGCTTGTTAAAACTGCCTGATGCACAATGTGTAATCAGTAATCAGAGGGATCTTTCACTGCAGGCTGCTAAATATGAATACTGTTCAAAGTGCATTTTGTGAACAACAATAAAAGAAAGAATTGATGATTTTCTTAATAGTATGATTTAAGAGACCCAATAAAGTGCCCACAAGGGAACAGCAGCGAATGAAAAGAAATCACTCACCCCATAATTAAGATAAATGATGGAAAATTGAATCAACCCACAGCAGATCATGATGTGACACGAGACAAGAATCAGTGTCAGTAATAACTGTTCACAAAGACATGTATTCTCTGTACTGTCGATAATGTAGTATAGATTACAGAAAAATGAATTCCTGTGTTGTTTTTTTCTTTGGATAGGGGTCATAACTACCAGACAACTAAATTACATTTTTATTATTTCTGATATTAATATCTGATGAACTGTTACTAAGTGCAAGTAAAATACAAGAAAAATACTTTCAACATTGTTACAGACACTTTCTGAAGTTATATTATTGCTTTTATGGATACGACGGCTAAAGAGACAGAGAGAGAAAAAATATGGAGCAGGGGATGACCTGCAGCAAAAGGTGGCCAAGTCAAACCAGCAACCACTTAAGACCATGGTCATGACCAGCTATAAGGTCACAGAGTACAACATGTAAGGTGAAGGGATGGCTTTTATTTTGAAAACACTCTAAGGTGGACTTATGAACTTATGACCCGTCTTACACAACCTCTGATTGTGTTGGGCTTGAGTGATGATTCAGTCCTCAAGCAGAGGCACATGCTACTGAGGTCTGCGTAGAGGCAAAGAACGTCTCATTATTTGTCATTTTATTACCTATTTCTGAAAGGAAAATCCAATGACAAGAAGACACAGTGACTGAAAAATGTCCGCCATATAGCATTCAGTCGACTTTGAGGGTTTGATTTTGGCATGAATTTTACATGCCTGAAATGCATTGAGTATAATACATGATACATTAAAATGACAATAACAAATAAAATAATAAACTCTGAATCCCATTTCTGTAACCTCTATATTAAGAGCTTATGCTTTAAAATACACTAGGCCAGACTGGCACCCCACACTTACTTTTTTTATTGGCCCCTAATGATAATGTGATGGTTTACTGCAGTACAGACATTGGTATAATTGTTGCAAATGAATTGTAAGAAAAGATTTACTAACTGTATAAACTGACATGCTAAAGGGAAGAAGTGAGGGTAAAAAAAATCATGACAAAATTTGTGTTTAAAAGCATATTTGAGGACTTTTTAATCAGTAAATGAAATAAAAACACAGAAATGGATTTTTACAATAATAACACAAGAACAATTGATGGATAATACCCTTAAAAAATGAGTGATGCCAACAAAATTCTTACTGACAAAGCTGATATCTGAAGCTCTCCTTCTTCTTGAATTTTATTGGTCAGTGGTGGTGGAGCGACGTGGGTGAGTGCAGCAGGGTTCCAGCAGTTGAACAGATTTTAACTGAGTGCTGTGGGGATCGTGACAAAAACAGCTGATGATGCCCTGGGTGTTTTTGTGCTGAGGATGCTGAGCACTGAAACAGTTTAATTGCATAGGTCATATATAGAAAGATGAAACATATTGTTCCCTTTTAAGCAGACTGGATGCTTAAAAAAAATGTTAATAATGCAAAAGAAATTATGCCCTCCCTGGTTTGCACTCATAAGACTTGCCCAATCAACATCAATTAAAGGTGTCCATATATAAAACTCTGCTTATTCATTACTAATTGTTCATGATTTTTCTATGACAGTAAATGGAAGATCAACCTTAGTTATAATTAAAAAAAATATATAGCCTTTGATATTAACATAATGGAATAATCTGCATAAAGATCGAACATGTTTGTTTCATTATAACCGCAAAAAAAACTCGATATGTTATAAAGGACAAAAAGTTACGAGAGAACGTTTATAGAAGAAGGTGTAAGAGGTATTTAACATGTCTGCAGAAAGAGAGAAATGACTGGTGAAGCCTAAATTGAGCTGGCAAAATTCAAACCCATGAAACTTGAGATAGGCTGGCCCTGTTTCATTTTGTTTCTTGGATAATCAAAGTGGCAAGGCTGTCAAACTTTCCCAGATAAAGTTGAGAAAAAAGATGATCACATAAATGTAAATCAACCCGTGTCTTGGTTTGTTTATCCTTTTACTCCACCTTTGAGTGAAATTTAACTGGACTCAATAAGTCTTGTAATTTTAGCATGTCAGTTTGCCATCTCCTTGTTAAACCAAAACCTATTGTTCCTACCCTCGCTCCTTCACTGGGAATGTAAAATCAACACATTGAGAAGAGTTCAGGTTTCTTTGTGCCTGCTGATAATGTATCGCACATGATGGATTGTTTTTCTGTCTCTGAATTGACACAGTAATGGGTGCTGGTGATGTATTTGACCACTTTGCTTTTTACTTTCAAATCAACACACATAATAGGCGGTGATTACGGCAGCCAAGCTGCACAGCCACAGCAAATATTTCCTCTAAAGAATAGGATTGTTTGAACCCTTTCAGTCCAACACAAATGGAATTGATTAATAATTGCCTTTTTTTTTTCCTCCAACAATGATTGGTTATTTCATGTTGCCATTTGTGTAGCGTTTGATTTGTGTGTCTATAACCAGGTGAAGTTTATGTGTGCGTGTATCCCAGGACTCAAGCCTGTGATTTGTTGCGGAGGTACCTGGGAAATGTTTTCTTAATTGCGTCGAAACCTTGTTACACCCTCAGACTGGCAGGTCGCAAATAACTGGCCAGCTGCTCTGTGTTTGTGGGCACATGGGGAGAGAGGAATATAAATGGATGGGTGAAAGAATGTGAAGGTTTGGAGAAGGAGGCTGAGGAGTATTTCATGCCCTCATCAGTGAGGCTGCAGGTGGCCTGCTGTCAGGTCTGGGTGGGCAGGGGTGTGATGTGAATGTCTGATCCACACCCCTTTTCTTTGAAGGCGGCTGCTCTTGGGTGTTTCTTACCTGCAGATTTATCTTTTATGTATCCCTGAAAAACAGTGGATTAGTGCAGTTACAGGAAGTTAAGCTGAATGCATGCAACTTTGAAACATTTGTTTTATTTTTGTCTCGTTTATGTAGCCCGCAAGCGTTCACCATTATTGTTGATTTATTCATGCATCTGCATTTGTTCAGATAAGAAAAAGCTTCCTCTTACCTCCTTGATCAGGAAGATGAAACACTACATAGAAGACACTCTGTTACATTTTGCCATTGATTTCCAGCCCTATTCATGTCCCGGTGATCATGAACAAGATTGGGGTTTTAGCTTAAATGGAAATGACTGATGTTTATTGGCTGCTAATAAGCTATTACCTCAACCTTGCTGCAAGCTAGAAGTCAATCCATGCTCATTTCACTTGTATGGAGGAGGGAGGGCTGGGAAGAAGGATGAGGAAGAAGGTTTGGAAGTATTAAGGAGACAGAGGGCAGAGTAAGATAAAAAGCAGAGAACATCCGTGTTTGTATTTCAATGTGCCGAGAGTAAGCTGCAGCTTAAAGCAATTTATATACCTGTGAAAAATGTGCCAACCATTTAATGGCTGTGGAATTAGCCGGGAATGGAACAGCACCTATTTCAAGGGCAGGGCTGCTTGCAGATAAGCATCACCATTTACTGTAATATTGGAGCCAGAGGATAGAGTCCTGTTACAGAGGAGATTAATGAGGCCCTGCGTGCCTGCGTGTGTGTGTCTGTGTGGATATTGTATTTATATCTTTCCTGGAAATGTTAAGGTTTCCAGCAGCAAAGAAATTAATATTTCCTCACTTTGACACAGAACACCACACATGAATTGATCTTAGATACAGCTTGGAAAGAACTCATAACAGTGCCATCATGTGGACAGAGCTCTCCTGTGCACCTGTGTGCGCAAAGAACTTCAAACTGAGCCAGCACTTTCAGCCGGCTCCTTTTTTAACTTATTTGCAATATTTTTGTCTGAGCATGCATGCATGCACTTACACACACACAAACGCAAATATGGTCCCTATTTGCTTTTCCTTCTTCTTTATATCAAAAATGATAGATGAGAGTACACTTTCTGGTGTATTGATTGCATGCTTTTATGGAATTACATCTTAGGAGCAGGTTGGGCTTTATAGGGAAGACAAATAGGTCCCGACTAAATGAGAGTAAGCACAATTCACTGTGAGCTAGCGGGAGAGATTGGGTGAGAGGGCACCTAAGGGCCAGGACTCGCTCTAACACTGCAGACAGACATCCATCCTTCCTCACCTCCTCCACCCCATCTCTCAGGAAAGGAAAAAAAGATAGCGGCCACGTTTAGAGATTTCTGAAACAGAATCCACTGCTCCTCCTTTACATGCTACACTCACAGACACTGAAACCCCACTGTAGGACTGAGAGCAACAACAGTTCTGCTTGATGGGTTTCTCCTATTGCCACATTTAAATGGACCCGCTCTATTTCCGTTATTGATTACGATGAAAGCATTTCATTATACAGGAAGTTATATGGCCAACAAGCAATTATGAATTCAATACTGCAAATGTAAACTGAAATGTGTCTTCAAGGCTCGTGCAAGAGGTGAAAAAGTCATTAACCCCCCCTCCAAACACACAAAAACACACTCACACACATGCACACATTAAGGGGAGAGGATTGCAAAATACTGCCATTTTGGGATATTAATTCACTCGCTTTACTTGCAGTGTGTTGTTGTGGTAATTTGGTGATGGTGAGGCAGTCCATTATGAGAATCAGAATTATGGAAATGGTGCTTACTCAAGCTGTTTCACATGGAAAGGCTGCGAACAAGCAGTGAGACCCCCCTGGCACCTGCAGCAAAAAAATAGAGAGGAGGGGGGCTGCATGTTTTATGATGTTTTCGATGTAAGACAGTG